ACCTTGTAATATACAATATCAAATAAAGAAATGATGTTTACCTACTGGGATAACCCAAAAAAAAAAAATAAAATAAAAGTATTTGTAAATAAAATTAATTTTTATTGAATTTTTATAGTATATAATTTAAAACTCTTTAATTTATAATAAAAATTTAAATTTATCTATTTAAAAAAACATACTTTATATATAAATTTGCTTAAGTAGTTAACTCTTTCTACTGATCCTCTGATCAATACTCCAAAATGGTATTCAGACTAAAGCATGACTTTACTCTTAACAAAACCTATACACTTTCCTTAATACAACTTGACAGACTTTGGCAAGATATTTTCATATCCTTTATTATTTTATTTATCTTTTCCACAAAGTAAAAACTAGAAGACTTCTTAGTTTTACTCATCTAAACTCTGATAGTAAGAAAGAGTTTTCCAGGAAAGAAGACAGTTTATTTGATTTTCTTCTTTCTTTTACCACTGTGATATCAGTATTTCTATCAGAAAGGATAACCTGAAAGGTTATTGAATATCTTGGTTTTCAAAAATCTTCACAATATAAGTATAGTTATTTTTCTGGCATATTTTCAAAATTCTTTAGTTTTTCTGGAGAATTTTGCTTACTTCAGTTTGATCCTAAATTTTTGGTTATACCAGATCTGTTGGGTTTCCATTGACTGAAAATCTGGATTAAATAACAATAAATAAGTAACAGATAAACAAACAAAAATATGTTTCTATTCATATTACATAATTTCGATAATATTATCATTTTAAACAAGAAGAACAAGGCAATAAGGTGTCTGTTTTAATATAGTTGGGTTTACATGTATACCCACTTTACTTTTCTCTTTCTCTTTCTTTTTCTTTATTCCTCCCATATATATAAATACAAACAAGGTAAACAGAATGTTTTTTCCTATAGGTTTTTTAGTTCTGATCCATGGTTTGTGAAGGACTACAAATTGTAAACTACTTAACAAGACCTTCAATATAACTTCCTTTACCAAAAGAGCTACTAAGCTTATCAGTAATATACATTATTTTTACCTCTAGTAAAGGTACTTAGTTGGTAATATTTGCTAAAATAAAAGACATCCTTCAAGACATAGCCTAACTTTGGAAGAGTTATGTCTTTTTAAATAAGCAGCTTATACTTGAAATAAGATATTATCTAAAGGACTGGATTGTCAATCCCACCAAAAGTTTTAAGATATTGGTTAAACCTAGGTTCTATTTGCTTTTCAAATTGTAATCCTTTAAGCAGTTACTAAGATAAGAAAATATTTCAAGATGTTGACAAGGACAACAGTATTAGATTTCCATTCATATATGAAAGAATTGTATTTAAACCATGATAAAACTCTATTTCCTTGAATACAAGAAATAAGTGACTGACCATCTAGTTAATATAATCATTTCAAAAAGATAGTGACAATTGAACCTGGGACCTTAGTCAATTGGAATAAAATCAATAAAACTAGGTGCTGAAACCATTTCTCTCCGTTATAACCTTAAAAGTTGATAAAGAAGAAGTTTTACCTTTCTTCCTCTTAAAAAGAATAGAGACACTGTATTCTGATGAGTAATCCGTTAGATATTGAGGAATCTTAATAAAAAAGTTTACAAATTTTGAGATTGAAAAGTATAGAAAAGTTGATTCATAAATAATTTTTTTAGGAATCAGTAGTGCTTGATATAACTGATTAAGAAATATTGTTACTTTCACTAGTGATAAGCCTTGTGATAGAATATAGTTCTTAGTGATATTCAAATTATGCCAGGAATTTAAGTTAGTTAACCTCTAGGTGTATCAAGTATTGATAAGAAAATTAATATATATTTACTATAATTTGAATAAAAGTGTAAACCATCTGTTTAAAAAAAAAATTTGCTTAAGTAGTACAATAATTTTGATTCATTAATATTTAATTCTATATCAATAAGTTTTAAGCCAATTTTGATGATTTTACTATTATTAAACTCAAAAAATTCACTTCACAGCTTTATTTTGAAGTATAAAATTAGTTTGCTTAATGAAATTTTTTTAACTTCATATTTACTATCAATTTTATATACAGTATAATTTTCATTTAACATACTTTATCCTATAAATATATTCTAATGATAATTACATAAATAATACATAATTTATATAAATATTATTATAGTGAAGCACACCCCTCGGGACCATAGGAAAATTTAAAAAAAACGTGCATTAATAGAATAACTTTATTAAGAGTTCTATGTACTTGGGACTAAGCTTGACCGTGCATTTAGAGGTCCTCTGTATATTCTGTTATTAAAATTTCATATTTAAACTTTAATCTATTTATTATTTTTAATTCAATTTACCAAAGTGATCCTTTTCATAATTGTAAAGATAAATAATAACAATCGTACGTGATCTTCAATTAATTACATTATTTTGGAAATATAACCGACGTTTGTAGATAAATTAAAATCTCTAACATGAACTATCTAATGTCCAAAGATTATTCAACTTTTTCTATATTATTCGTAAAAGGTATACATTCTGACTCATTGATCGTTGGCTTGTATGTTGTAATGAAATTAGTATTTAGTCTAAGAAGAATACTCCAAAAGATTGGTATCACCATTAGAGTCAATGATGCAGTAGTTAAGAGTAGGTAATAAACTTCTCTGGATATTATTTCAAGGTCTTTGGCCCGACTTGCGAGCACAAAAACAAATTCGCTTATTTGAGACATCCCGATCGCCATAGTAACTGCGCGCTGAGAAGTGTGCCCAAAAGTCATCAACGTGACACTACTTGACAAGAATTTGAATCCTATTGCCCCGAGTGTAAGAATAAACAACAATGATCCCTCATTCACCAAGAAACTTGGATAAACGTGAAGTCCAATGCTGGCAAAGAACAGGCAAGAAAAAACGTCGCTGACAGGTTCCACTACACTGATAGAAAATTCAAAAATGGATCTACAGTTATGGATAAGCATTCCTGCAACAAAGCACCCTATCTCAGCTCCAATGCCAAGTGTTAAAGAAACTTGGGACATCAATAAACACATAGATATTGAACCGAGGATAAATAGCTCATTATTGTTGGATCCCTTCAGAGGCTTGAGGAACCATGATATAGGTATTTTCGCAATCAAAAAGCTAAACACACCAAAAAACATAAATGACAAAATCAGGTGTCCCATTGTTGTAAATATTTCCGTGTCGGCTTTGGAAAATACCGGTAAAAAAGCCTAATTAAAATTAACACATTTAGAAATATATGAACTACAATATTATTGAATAGAAGAAGTGAAAGAATGTTATCAACGTACCAGTAATACTCCAAATAATAAATCCTGTATTACGAGTATACCCTTGAAATTGAATCCAATATGAATAAATAAAGTTAGTCTTTACTATGCATATCGTATCCCATATAGGTTCA